AAAAAAAAAAAAAAAAAAAAAAAAAAAAAAAAAAAAAAAAAAAAAAAAAAAAAAAAAACACGAAAGAAAATATAATAAAAATTAATAATGAAATTCATATTTTTGTAAATAGTTAAAAGCAAATGCTTGAATTTTGATCCCAAGATTTATTCCTGTGTATGAGGCCACGACCACACCCTTTTTGCAGGCGCATGTGGATTCTCCGCCCCCGATTTGAATGTGAACGCTAAAGCATTTAGACATAAGGGATTTTTATATATGCGAATATATATGTATATATTCGTAAAGCGATTTTATAAATCATTTTAATTGTCTATTTTAAATGCAAAATATAAACAATGCGGAAATGAATTAGTTTAGTTGAATGTGTGTGAAAATATTTCTGCAATTTTTGTCAATAACGTTTTCGATGTTTTCGATTCCTTTGTATTATAAATTGTTTCAAATTTTTTAAGCAAATATAAATAAATAAATACAAACTAATTACAAATATATCACCAAACGTGTTTTGTTTTCAATAGAATCTAAAATAATAAAATTCAAATAGTGTTTGCAATCATTGAACGAAAATTCATATTATTTATAAATTATTAAATACAATTTAATTTATTCAAACAATTTCTTTTGACATTTCAATTTACAATTCATACTTAATATATTGTGTTCATGATCAAACTGATGTATCAATTGAATTGACTTTGACATTGATGTGTGACAGCAAATATTTATTGCAACAGGTCAAGATCAAGCGGCTGACGAGTCCATGAATTGGTGGGTAGTACAGGCCATTTTTCCTCAAAATCGCCAATGAATTCTTCGGCAGCATATTTAGACTATTTTCTTCTGGCAGCATTATAGAACCGACGTCCCAGTTCCAGTTCCAGGTCCAGTTCCAGACTGAGTTTTTCATCGTTGCTGTATTGAATATTTTGTATCTCTTTGTTCATATGTTTGGTGGGTGAGGTTTTTTGGTGGGTGGTTTTAATACCAAATGGGAGAAGGATTCTTTTTTAGTATTCGGAATGGGACAATGAGTACTGCATCATAAAACCTCACCCGAAAATCTGATGCATCTCACAAGTTGTACAATTTGGGAGGAGGGAGAGAGGAAGGTGAAAGTATCTCTGCATCAACAGCATACATATTATACTGCCATACATACATATATGTACGGTAAGGAGTATAGAAAAACAGTATATTAGAATGGCTGGTTAAAGTATTAAATGAACAAACGGATATACATATGCATAGTATATTTAGTCTATACATTGAGAAAAATAAATTAAAATGATTGTCGAGAAATGTAGATTGTTTTTTTTTTTATACTCATTCACGAAAATGAATTAGCATATTGGTTTTGTGCAATGTCCGTCTTCCTGTCCGTCTGTCCGTATAAACGCAATCTATTTCGGCGCTATTGAAGCTAGAGACTTGAAATTTGGAACACATACTCGTGTATATCTCTGATTTATAAAGTGTCAAAATTTTCCTGATCTGCCCACTAGGGGCGTGGCAAATCGGAAAATGCATTTTCCAATATGCCAGAAATCATGTTAGTTGAAGAGCTAGAAAGCTGAAATTGTATGTAGTATGGTATGTAGGTCCGCGTCGACCACCCTAGATCACAAGCTATGGCGGATATATCAGCTAGAGCGCTAAAATTTGCTCGTCAGCTAATATTATGATTCTATAAAGTCTAAATACAAAATTAATTGTGATATTTTAAATTCTGCTATTTTTTGGACACTATTGATGCCAGAGACCTCAACTTTTGTATATATACTCGTTCTGATCACCCAAGACCCAACAGGTTTGTTAGATATATGTTCGCCCAAAGGGGGCGTGCCAAACCGCAAAAGTTCATATCTACGAAAGTATAATAGTTAGAAGCTTCAAATTTATATAGTTAAGTTACCAGTAACCTCCTCTATAGATGACCTAAAAATAATTTTTACGCTTCTGTAGGGGCGTGGCATATCCAAAAATAAACTGTAATTTTCATATTTTTGAGGGTAAGCATTCAAACTTTGCAGTTAGAGTACCGTATTTTCTACAGTATTAGAGCGAAACTTAACTACTAATTTGGTAATGGGATGTGAATGAGTATTCCGCAGTCGGTAACGCCCGACCGCAACGTTCTTACTTGTTATACCCTGAACCCATTGAAAATGGGAAATCAGGGTATAATGGTTTTGTTAAAAGTATGTAACAGGCAGAAGGAGGCGTGGCAGACCCCACAAAGTATATATATTCTTGATCAGGGCGACGAGCTGAGTCGATTTGGCCCTGTCCGTCTGTCTGTCCGTCCGTCCGTCCGTCCGTCCGTCCGTCCGTCCGTCCGTCCGTATGTATGAACGCGTCGATTTCAGAAGATATAAGAGCTAGAGACTTCAAATTTTTTTTAAAATGTCCGTAATTACAGCGCGCATATCAAGTTTATCATTAAAAATCGATAACTCATCCCGATCTTTTTTTATCGATAAAAAACCTTATCGAAAACCAGTTATAAAATTATATCTTCTACACCTTTATTGCTAGAGTCTCCAAATTTTTAATGTATGCTTATATGCAATTTATACAATTTCGGTTTTTGTTAAAATTTACCCCCCACCCTTAAATTCACCCCCTCACCCTCACTTTTGTAAAAAGCGTATTTCAAATACTAGAGACTTGTGCTTTGGCAATTACATGCATATCCATGTTATAATCATAATCTGAAAGTTTCATGAAGATCGTACGTCCATAAAAAAAGTTATTAAACAATTAAGTTCTCATAGTAAGCGCACACTGCAGCCCATGCGTGTTTATGCGTGGGTGCTTGTGTGTGTATGTGTTTGTGTATGTGTGTGT